ATTTATATAAAATAATACATTTTAGTAGTTATAACAAAAAAAATTTTTTATATTTTAAAATTAATAAAAAAGATATAAAAATTAAAAAATAAAACACCAAAAAGTATTGTCAAATAAATCCTTAGAGAGCATGAAGTGAAATTAAAAAAAAAAAAAAAGCTTTCTTCCTAATATGTTACATGTAGTATGTCTGAGCTTCATATCTAATCTTTGAAGAATTGAAGTTGGAAGCCTCCAAGCCTTTTTCATGAATAGGCAAAGGCCTGTGCACCGGCAACATATGTTGCCTCCACTGATGCAGATCCTTCTGCTGTAAAATCATCCCACAAGTTAGTGGAAAGTATGACAAAATCAGCGAATTTGCCAGGAGTTAAGGATCCTATTTCGTTGTCAAGAAAGCATGCTCGAGCAGCTGAAATAGTGTGCCTGCAATGGAGAAGGTCTATACGTTAACCAAACAATGCGCAATGTATTTTGAAAGATTGATGAATTTGATGATTCATGCTCACAAGATTAATGCATCATTGACAGAAAGGCGCTCCGATGGATTCCATGGATTTTCCCAACCAGGAGGTATTCTTTTCACTGCTGTTCTGATGGCACTTAAAGGATTGATATGTGCAACCTAATACAAAAAGCATGATGATTTGAGGTTTTGTTTTCTCCACCACAAATAGATTCCGGAAGGAAACACCAAGAGCTACTATAGAAAAGCAAGCACTAGAGGAAAATGCTTACTGGACAGTCAGAACCAAGAGCTACTATTGCTTTGCTGGATGCAAGTGACTGAAAAAGATATGATCCCTTTTGAGCCCTATCAAACCCGAGCTTTTTGATTGCAGAGTCAGCATCATCGAGCAGGTGATCTGGCTGTTTACAGTGAGATTGGATTTTAATGTAATCAAGCTTATTGCCAGCAACATTGGGTTTGAGTGGCATTTATAAAACAAGGTTTAAATGCAAACATTGTTCACATTTCATATGCAGGTTATGATAAGTCAAAAGTCTAAACATAGTTGTTGTAAAAGAACCTGTACTGAAGCAACAATCTCTTGTTTACCAAACCGTTCTGCTGCTCCAGGTGCCAGATGCTGAGCATGTTCAATCTGGAAGTGAATGGTTGCATCAGAAAAAACAATGGCGCATAAATAAATATTCTTGGCAAGAATGAAGCCCTAGTCACCTTGCAACGGAAATAACATCTGTCTGTGCATGTAAGCACAAAACGAACCTTACCCTAAATCTCCGATCCCGGTTTCCATTTTCTGAGGCAACTAATTCATACATATCCAGGATCAAGTCATTTGCTCTATCACCTATAGCATGAATAGCAACCTGAAATAATAAAAGTAGAACAGAGCTGTAAAAGGGATTTCAAAACCAACCTACTCTCAAAAAAGAAGCCTCTAAAACAACGTAAAGATGCATGTTTTACCCTTTTAAAATAGCCTTTAACAGTACAAAGGTGTACAGTTGGTTTTGTATATGTTTCTAGACACAGGTGTGCATTTCATACAAGAATCCACCTGCAGATGCATGGAAAGTGCTGACCACATATAGCAATTGGTTACCTGAAGCCCATACTTGTCTGAAGACATGGTCAAGTTGACAAGACTTTCAAGTTCTGTAACTTGTACACCTTTATTGTTAGGCTCATCGATGTACGGCTACACAAACAATTCAAGAAAAATAATTTTTTACATATCAAATTAGTTATTCAAGGTTGGTAGATACATTGATGTTTTTCTCACCTCATGAAAGAGAGCACTATTAGAACCTAGAGATCCATCAGCAAAAGCTTTAACACCACCAAGGTAAATCCAATCACTAAGGGCGGAACCTACCTTTTGAATGAGATCCTGAGATTATAAAGACAACCTTATGAAATTACAGGAAAAGAAGAAGAAGAAGAAGAAGAAAAAAAACAGAGGAGAAAAAAATATCAATTGTAATCACGAGGATTAAACAATGATAAAAATAAAAATAAAAACAATCTAAAAGAACAAGCATATAAGACAGGAAAAAATAGGAATCTAAGCATTACTAAGTTTAACATGGCCCTTAGAAAGAAAAATTGTCAAGAGTTCATACATACAAACGTGACCATGTCTCAATTGGAAAAAATAAGCAGACTCTGATCATCATCTTCCCAGAAGAATCAGCCCATTGGTACACATCTGTGCAAATTGGAGAAAATAAAAAAACAAAGAATAATAACAACACCAGAAAGAATACTTTTTGCAGGATTGCATTTGGTAATTCTTTAGCAATTTCTCAGTTTGTACTCAAAAAGCATGCAGAACAATATGTGCAGTGGAATCACTTTGTTTCTCTCAAAATTGAAAAAAATCCACAACATAATTCAAGTGAAGACCTGAAAGATCCTCCCAGGAATGCTCAACTGATGCACCAGGATAATATCTCCCAAAATCAACAACAGTTGTGACTCCCCTCATCAAAGCAAGATTGCTAGCCTTAATTAAAGCATCCCTTCTTTGATCAATAGAGATATCTGGAATCCAAGATAGGACAAGTTTCATTGCAGAATCAATCAACAATCCTGTAGGCTCTGCATAATCAAGATATGTAATGTATAAGCAACAGGTTACTAAACAAGTAATTTAGTAACATTAGAACAGCAACTGCAATGAAGAATCACGGTGAAATTGCATGCATTGCCAAATTAGTAACAGACATGTTGCAGAGGTAAAAAAAAAAGAGGAAAAAAAATTGCCAAATGCATAAGATAGGATGGATGGCTCTTCCAATCATGATCAAAGAACTTGTTGAAAATGCTAGATCCAGTTACTAATTCTCAGACATCAGAATCAAAATAGTTAAGTAATTTTCATGGAAATGATCGCTAATTATGCACAGTGCTAAGAGTATAATAATACTAGATAGATGCTTTCAATTCATATTTATAATTTTTTATTTTGACAGCAATTCTGCTTATCTCCAGGCAAACTGACAAAATAGCATACCCCCATCAACTGTTCTCATTATAGTTCCTCCACTTGGATCTTCAGACAATTTAGTAATTCCAGCCAAGTCAAGTGCAACTGTATTTGACAAGCCCATGTGACCATCCATCCTGGTTAGCCAAACCTGCACGATGAGACATCTTGATTTAGAAGCTTGATATTAGGAGCCTCAAATTCATGAATAATGGCTACAACTAATATAAATTAAATATGGATTCTTACAGGATTGTCAGGTGTTATATCATCTATCCAAGCTGCCTTAGGCAGTTCTCCTCCCCATAGATCATTGTTCCATCCACCTCCCAGAATCCATGAACCCTTTCTGGCATCTGCTAAGGTTACCAGGTTTTTATAAAGCTTGATAACACATATAGACCATCTTAAATAAGTTTGGTTAACCACTCTTCACAGAAGTTTTAATTCAGAAACCACAGATTCTTTTCTGACTCCAATCAGGTGTCAGGTGTGCACCCTTGGCTAACAGTAACATGTAATGATGCATAAAACAAAGATCGCATAGTTTGATTTAGAGTTTATGATAAAAGGACTAACAAGCAGCACACAAAGTTTTGATGAACTATTTTCAGAAAAGTACACCATCAATATCAAGAATATAAGCACATGAGAACATGCTCAGTCATTCGTCAAGAAACACAGCAAGGATATATGTAAAGATTCTTCCAAAAACTAGAAGAATAATCACAAAAGACAAAGAAAAAAGGATTACTTAATGCTGCTTCTTCCACCCTTCTCACAAGTTCTTCCTTCTGATTCACACCTCGGAGTTCCACACGCATCATCTGTTTAAGAAAATCTCAACTCTGTGCATATTAACATACTGTTGATACTTAAATAACAAGAAAATGTGTCTCACCACATCTTTCTAGTGTCTAGGTTATCAAAGTAGCAGGCACTAGGCAATGATGAACGTATTATTTTTTTGGGAAAATAAAAAATGAATTTTGTAGAATACACGTAGAAGACCAAAATTTTGAAAGAAGTGATTGGGCAGCCGAATCTATACACATGTCATCACTCAACTAGATGAAATATCAATGGGAAAAAAAAAAACCAGTAAAATAAGCAAAAGGGAAGAGAATCTTTTCTTGCAAACCTGCAGTCCCCCAAAAAGCAAGTGCACATGAGAATCAACAAATCCAGGAACTACAACTTTTCCTTCAAGATTCAACTCTTTTGTTCCATACCCAGCCAAATCCTGCGTGCAACAAATTAATTAGTATAATGAGAAAGGGAGAAAAAATTTTAAGGCACAGTTAAAACAATGAAATAAACATAAAGCCAAAGCTTTGAAGCATGTCTACAGTATATTAAAAGGTAAAACTGCCACCAATTAATAATATATGGATATGTTGGAACAACAATCATTCTGCCTGCAAGGGCTATATATATATATATATATATATAGCAAATATAGTATTTTTCAACTGAAATTTAAAAACTTTGCAGTCAAGAGCTACGCCCTTTGGAGAAGAAAGTCACAACACACACACGCAAATCCATTTGGGTATGAGAAGAAAAAGAAAGAACCTGAAGAGAGGAATAGTTGCCGATGCTGAGGATCCTACCGGCGCGAATGGCCATGGAATCAGCAAAAGGCAGAGAAGGGTCGCTGGTGAAGATGACCCCATTTCTCACAATCAAATCCGCTGCTAATTTCGATGAGGGCAACAAGGACTTTAACCAATCTACAATATTAAGCGCAAACAATCAGTGCATGAATTCGTGATAGAATACGTGAAATGGAGAGAGTGAAATAGTTGGAATTACAGTTGGGGTTGAGGAGAGGAAAAACGATAATGGAAAGGAAGAGGAAGAATGAAGCGGAGACGACTACGAAAAGATTCATCCTCTCCTTTGCTGCCTTTCTGTCCTCCTCCGCAGTTTTTTGTGAAAACTGCGCAGTCCAGTTTAGAAATGATTATGAGAATCGTTTATCTGTTTCAAACTGTTAGTACATCTTTCAAAATTTTTTATTGGTTTAAATATGAAAAAGTGTTTTTTTTTTTTTTTTGATCGATATTACATGGAGGGGTTTCAACTTTCAACCCCACCCTTTTTGCCAGGGGAGTGCATCTTCAGTATGGTCGGAGAACACTTGACTCGAAAGGTCAAATGCAAATATGAAAAAGTGTTTGTTAATTATATTTCTAAAGAAAATATATTACTACCATAAATATAGCAAATTATTATACATTTTTGCTCATTATAGATATTTTATCTTTTCATTTTTCGCAATTATGTTTACAAGTAGGTAGACAACAGAACATTTCTGATCCTTCAGTATGTCTGTGTGGTTTGGAAAAAAGGAAAAGTCAAATAAAAAACACGACCGGCTGTTTTTGGACCGGGATAAAAAAGGAGAAAAAACCTTTTTTTTTTTAGGTTTTTAAAAAATTAAAAAAAATATAATATAATTTAAATTATATGATATTATTCTACATTAATTA